CAATAAATACTATGGTGTGCATTACTAGAGCTTTATAGTGCTTCTGTTCTTGTATATAAACAGGCAAAACACTAAAAGGCAGGAGTTGCCTTTGATGTCTTATGCACGCCTTGACTTCTAGTTCTGACTTCAGATTTTCAGCAAGATTTTGGCATTTAGAAGTTGCTTCTTCAGTATAGATTTTCTGGTATTTTTTATGGAACAAGATCTTTTCTTCAGTCACAGCCTTCATCTGTTCTTCCTTACTTTTCTCCCACAACTTCCAAAGAAATTTGTTTTCTTATTCAAGTAAGCAATGGGTTAAAAATACCCTGACAGCACAAATATAGGAAAGGAGCCTCAGAAGCAGATTTTTACCCAAAACCGTAAGCATACAGGGTGTAATTTCATAGGAAACCAAACTAAAAGGAGTGTAGGATGTTGTATATGATATCAGGACTCATGCACACTTATCAGGTCTATTAAAATAATAATTAAAAAAAAAGTCAGCTATTGGAATTATAACATTTTTTATCTGTTCAATTTCACTTGATTTTTTTGTTTTCTAGCTCCCAAACCCCCACTTCCAGAGCCTAAAACTTCTAAGACTGTTGAACAACAAAAAGCTACTTTAGGTAATACATACTTACGCAGCTGTTGGTCAATCTTCTCTGCAGCCCAAGTCACAGCTTGAACTCAATTACTTCATCTCATAGCTTCTTTTGTTTATAATCCATTTCTTTTAGGAAGAAAAAGTTAGGAAATAATCATTCTGAAGTACGTTTTTCAGAACTTAAACAAAAAGTAACTTGAAGTTTTTTGTGACCTTACTAGTTCTATGGTACAGTAACATTCTTGGATAGCAGAATATCTTCCATTTTGTTGGGAGTGATGCTAGTAGAGCAGCAACACATTTTACCCTCAGAATCATTAGAAATTCCTTAGCATCATTACTGAAAGACTAAGTAGAAGGCCAGTGTTATGACTGTTAATCCTAGAAATCTCAATGAATGATTGCTGTGACACTATGTAGATATGTTAATTCTGCTGCTCTTTTATGAATCCTTCATGAATGTTAGTTTGGCTTCAGAAGCACTTCTCAGCCATTTCACATTTCTTACTCTAGTCTGTTCTTTCTGTATCATATGCTTTTCTAGTGTCTACTACCCTGAAGTATTTGGAAACTTCTTTGAAAGGAGTCTCATTGCAATCCTTTATAAAACTGAATTAAATTATGTACTATAGTACCTGATACACACCTTAAGCTTTATTTGATGTCAGATTAATGGTCATTAGCTAACTATACTTTCAGCTCACAGAAGTTCAGGGAAAAGAACACTTCCAGGTTTCTGTTTGCTTTTTATTTTTTTTTTTTTTTTTGCGATTTAGATGAAATTATTTCTGTTTTATCAACAGAATGCAATGAATACAGTTATGGAGCAACTTCCTTTTATAACACTGAATTCATACTTCTGCTCCCTTCCAGTGATTTCATTACTGTTGAAAATTGAGACCATTTTAGCAGATTTTGTTTATGTTTCAATGACCAAGAGAAAATTTTAAAATTGACCAAGAGAATGAATTATTTTTCCTCTTACCTATCTTACAAAAATGAATTTTATGTTTTAATGAGGAAAACATTTTGATGTGATTGTAAGCTGTACTTGCATCTCTTTGATTTACTTACTGACTTTTGCAATGATGAACAAGCAGGTTTTAGGGGAGGATTTTGTGAAGCCTTTTTAGCAAATTAGATTTTGCCATTTGCTTTTGCTCCAGTTGCCATTTATTGCTTCATTTCTGCCTTGGAAAATGTGATTCTTATGTGACACGTTAGGAAGAATCATCTTATAATGCAGAATATTTTTTTCAGCTCCCAAAGAAGCAAAACTCACACCTTCTGCATCTAAACCTAGACCACCTGGCAGACCCAGAAAGCCACAAATTAAACCTGGTAACTAGCTTCCATACCAAACATTTGCTGTACCTTATCATTTAAATAGTTTTATATACTTCATTTTGTGTGAAGTTCAGCACCTTAGATTCAGAAAAAAAAAAATTAGGCAGTGAGGGAAGCTGTGCTCTTTGAGGAGTATTTTTTTTGTATTCAACAACAGAAAAAATTGAAGCAAAGTCGAGAGACTTTTAACTTTAGTCTTATATCTCAAATCACCACGCTGCACGGCCTTGTGGAAACAAATTGTTTTGCGGTTTTTCATTTCAAAATGAAAAGTTTTTTGACTTGGTTTGACACTGAATCTAGAAGATGCACATTCTCTTTTGTTGCTGGTGGATGTAGCATTTTACCTAGAACTGTAGGATTTCTGTTGATCCAGTGATCATTAACTCATACATAGGCTTATCTGAAACTGAATTAGGAATGAAATGCTGATCTGGAATTTAATGAAGGCATATTTTATGGTGGCAAATGAAACCAAAAGTTACCTGGCCTGCGCAGAGGCTGAAGAATAAGTGAATAGTTTTGCATGGTTTATAATGAAGTTCAAAAAGTGTGTTGTGAGAATATGTTACATAATCATGGAACATCTTAATTGGTATTATTTATTTTTTTCCAGATTCCAAGTAAATTAGTCCCTGTTATTTTTGCTCATAAAAAGAATTACTCTCTTCAGACCCAATAATTCCTTGTGAAACTTGTTAAATAAATGATATTTATGCGTTGGAGGTTTTTCAAATTAACATGCATACTTATTTTTTCATTGTGGTTACATCTCCTGCAACATTTTTAGTGTAGAAATTCAGTATTGTAATATTATAATCATTAATTTCATCTCTGCCATAGATGTCTATGTATATCTGAACATAGACATCTTTTCTTGAAATGACAGAGAAAAAACTCCTTTGGAAAATGTTGAATAAAATTGTTTTACACCTTCGTGCCATCAACATAAAGCGGTATATTGATGTTTCTCCATCAGTGGTTGATTGCTCTGAGCTACTATATCGCTACAGAGAAGGCAGCATGTTTCTGTATTTGTATATATGCTTCTTGTCTGTCATTTCTTTGTTAGTGATAAAATTGATCAATCCAGATAGAATCCTAAGAAACACTACTCTTTATCCACCAGTGTTTATTTTGGAGAAGACTAAGGGTAGATCTCTACTCTCTACAGCTATCTGAAAGGAAATTGCAACAAGGAAAGTACCAGTCCATTTTCTCAGGTGATAAGTTAGAAGAAATTGCATCAGGAGAAGTTTAGATTGGATATCTGAAAGGATGTTTCCATGGAAATGCCAAGCTTTGGTAGGGGCAGCTCAGGGATGCGGTGAATTCCCCATACCTGGATGTATTTAAGAGACAAGTGGACATGGCACTAAGGGACATAGATCAGTGATGCAATTTGGGAGGCCAGATTGATGGCTGGACATGATGTTGGAGGTTTTTTTTACAACCTAGATGATTCTATTGTTCTATGACCATAATTAAGCCTGTCATTATCCTGTGAGAAGGTATTTGCTACTTTGGCTTGTTCTGACGAGACAAATGATGATGTTCATAAATGATTATTTGAGGCATAAAATATATAATACATGGAGATTACACGGGTTTTGGTTAGGTGACTTCTGAAATATAGTCACATGAGAGAACTATGCCTTCTCTATGATTTTTTTTCTAAAAACTTGGTGCATGTCTGTCATATTATTTTCTGTCCTTCTAAGTTTCAGGTTACTTGGCTGCTCACTGCTTACAACCCAGTAACCTGGTAAACAATTTAATAATATTGAGGGTAACATGCCAAAGTCCTATTGCACTGCCTGGGAGTTTTATTTAGATGCTCTGCTTTCAGAAAGGTCAGAGAAAATGAAGAGCATTAAATTTCCTCCAGTCTTATTCCCTTTTCATCCTCCTTCTGAGAAACATCATCTCACAACTCTACCTTTTCTTTTTACCTAGAAAAATTTACATCAAATGTGAATTGTATATCTATTAATGAATTTTTTAAAACTGCTGTAGAAGAGCATCCAACTCTTTGTTTATCCCTTTTTTCAAGGGATAAACCCTCTGCTTGTTTTATCCATATCCAATAATATCTCATATTAAACCCACTGCTCCAATTTTCTCTGCTTATTCATTTAAATGACTGCAGGTTGTTTTCTAAATTTCATTTATTCATTAATGAATGTGTCTCTTTTATGGGATACCACTTACTTTCAGCTAAAATACTGATTTTTACAAACCAGTTTTTTTCCCAGTACCCAAAACCATGTTCCAGTGCTTTTGTAGGGTTTCCTGGTTTCTGTTACATTCTTTCTATTGTTGCCAACAAGTTTGTGCATTATTTCTTAATTGATCCTGTATTATTAAAAAGCTTAATTGTCCATAGTTGAAAAAAAGTTGATTTGAAGGTAGGCATTACTGTGGTGCTGTATCAGCAGCTGCTTTTGCTCTTACCAGTGGAGTTATTTTACATTTTTTGCAGTACATTCCATACTTAACTTGTCACAATGTTTCTGTTGCAGTGGTGGAATCTATTACACTTAGAGTTGAACCACCAAGGTCAACAATAGGTAATGGTACTTCTTTGGCAAGCTGTAGTTTTTGGGGTCTTTTTTTGTCACAGAAAGTGGCACCAAAGTTAATCATCTTATGCTTTAAAATAGATTCATTAAACTTCATTTTTCTTCTAGGTAGTTCTTGTTTGGTATCCATGTCTGTTGGTCATATTGCTAACTTCACAATTGAAATTGAAAAGCCTACTTTTTGAGAAAAAGAGGCTTGCAGCTTTGAATGACCTTTGTCTTAATTATGCTCGTCTGTGTCAGTCTCAGTTTTTCATTTAAAAAAAAAATATCTGGGCTTCTGTAATAACCAAAATTTCTATCTTTTGCTTAGGCTGTTGTAAACACGTGGGTATTATTATCAGACTTTCTTTCCTGTTTCCTATAAAGAGAATTCTCTGTTGCAGGTGTGAGCATTCTGTGTTTGTGTGTTCATCTCGATATCAGATGCTGATTGCTCAGTGAATTAACCAACTTATTACCCACCTTTTCTCTTCCAGCTCCAAAGGAGATTCCTCGCATTCCTTCTAAACCTAAACCTTCACCCAAACCTCATATTCCACAGGCTAAAGATGGTAAACTGCTTTGTGTGATTATTTCTAACACAGCATATATTAGATTGAAATGTATTTCTGTGCAACTACTTATTTATTTGAACAAATTAAATCATAATCAGATTCTGTTGTGCTGTCTATTCAGTGGTATGTTTGCAATTTTCAGAAATAATAACAACGTTATTTTTAAATTCATGCCATAGAGCTAGAGTGTGGTAGCACAATATGCAGTAATGCTTTTTAACAGCATTCAGAAAGCAAACAAGTGTTCTCCAAGTCCAGTTTTGTATATGAACAGCACTTGTAATATCTCACAAAGGAGAGAATTTTCTATTCTTAAAAAGCCATTTTCTTAATAAGTTAATGATAGATATTTGGGTATCTCACTACAGCCAGTTGGAGAACTAAGCTCACACTGAAGAAGAATTTCCTCTTTCACTGCTTATTTTCTCAGTGACTTCATTTAATATAAAAGTTTTTGTATGAGGCAGTACATTACTATAGAAATAATACTAACTGTAAGTGGGGGTATTCTCTTAAATTTTTAGAACAGCTTTTATGTTTTGTTTTTCTTGATACAGTCCTGGAATCTGTAACGTTTAGAACTGATCAACCAAAACCAACAATAGGTAACAGTTCTAGCTAAAGTGATCATCACATTTAGAATACATATTGTGGCTTTGCATGGTTAGAACAAATACTCAGTAGATGTCTAGCATCACAGGTACATCTTCGTTGTATTTTACTGTCATGATTTTTACTATTAAATTTCATCCTTATGTAATTTGATTTTTTTTTTTTTGTTTGTGATTTTACACTAACAATTCATATTCATCTTGTTTGGTTTTCCTCACACAAGTATGTTCTGTAAAGCGAATGGCAGCACCACAGTTTTACTTTGATTGTGTTTCATTATGCTTAGTTTGTGTCACATACTTCATCTTTTCTGCTAGTCTCCAAGTCAGACATCCATCCTGGCCTTGCTCCTCTTGATTCTATTACAGAGGTTCCCCACCAGCAGAATTTCTTTGTGTACCAGGCATTCATGCTTCTTCATTATTTGTACAAGCTTTTTTTGTATCCAGATTCCAAAGACATGTGTTCAGGGTTTCCTTGTTGGTTTCTTGTTTGTTTATTTGTTTGTTTGTTTGAAATGTTATGCCTTCTGACAGTCTTCTGTCAGGAAGATATTAAAAGTTGCATTTGTTTTATTCCAGTTCCAAAAGAATCACATCGTATTCCTTCCAGACCTAGGATACCACCAAGCTCAGAGGTGCCACAGACCAAGCCTGGTAAGTACACTGTTTCTTATTTTATGCTGGTATGTGTATCTTACAAATTTTACCATGATCAGTAGAGTTTCGGATCCATATTTATCCCTTGGGTGTGTATGTTGGTGCATTCCTTGAAGGATAAAATCCAGTATCATATATCATAAGACGTGGAACCTGTAAGCAACCTTGCAAGTTTAAGTTTTCTATCTTAGTTCTTTCTTACATTTTAAGTCACTGCAACATTTTTCTTTGCAGAAAATAGCTCTTCTTGGTTTGAATTTGGATTGGTTTGGGGATAGATGAAAAAGAAAGTGTCATTGCAAAGAGGAAGTGAATTTTTTCTGTATTTCTCAAACTGTATAAATGTGTTTTCTTTCCTAAGCACAGTCATTCTTTCATTCTTTTCAGTTACTTTTGCAGAAGCTTTATTTTATCTGTGCACTTAAGAATGTACAATATTTTTCAAAATGTTGCTCACACAGCTTGATATAAAGTAATATATGACCATGTCCTAATCAAGGGTGGAGGAAGAAAGTTAAATAACTCATGCTAGCGATTGCAGGATGTATTGTAGTAAGTTGACCTTGCCCATTAGCTATGTATCCACCAGTTTGCTCACCACTCTGACCCCCTGCAGGTTTGAGGAGAAAGCCAGAAAACAAATAAACAAAAAGAACAGAACAGTGATTCGAGATAAAATGTAAAAAATGAGAGAAAAATGAGGAAAAACAAGAGATGCAAACACACTCAGTCACAAACTAATGCCAGAAGACCAACACCTAGGAAGCCCACAAGCAGTGGCTCCTTCGAAAAAATTACCCACCAATTTTATTGCTGACTGTGATGTTAGATGACATGAAACAGTCCTTTGGTCAATTTGGTTCAACTGTCAAAGCTGTGTCCCCTCCCAGCCTGTTGCCTAACTTCAGCCTACTTGTCTGGTGACTGTGTGAAAAACAGGATCTGCTAAAACATTGGTTTGTTATTAAGACTGGCTTGGTCACAAATTTAAAACAGAGCACTTCAGGGACTGCTATGAAGAAAATAAACTCCTTCCCAGCCAGAACTAGTGCAAGCATCCAAGGTATTCGCAGCATTAGGTGGTGCTGCTGGGAAAATGGACAGAATGACGAGGACTAAGATTCCTTTTTGCCCTGCTAAGTCTGCACCTATTGTTTGAATTAAAAAATAAAGATAAGCAAGAAAAGTATGCAAAGTTTAAAATGGACTGCCACCCACAATTTCTTCGTGGCTTATTACAAAATTTACAGATTTATATTCAGAGCTCAAATCTGTATTAGAGTTATCGCCCTGAAGGCCATTTTTGAGATGCATAATACTGTTGAGTATTGAGTTTCAAGGAGGAGAGGCCGTCTCTCACTAGCCATAGGAGGGGTGACATGATCATTGTGGAGGTGCTGCCTGCAATGTTTTGGTTGTTCTTAGTAAGAGTTATTTTGTTGGTTTCTAACGCAGCTCTGGAACCAATTACGTTTAGAACTGAAAAACCAAAGTCAACGTCAGGTAATGATAAATTCTTATTTGCATATCACCTTGTTTTTCTTTTACAACAGAGATCATTATAAGTATACCTGCAAATAATTTTAATAAATTACTTTAATAATAGATTGAATAATTTAACAGTCAAGATTCTCTACCTCTTTTCATTTTTTCTTCAAGGAATTCAAGAAGGGTCCTCATGCCAATCATGTTTTTAAGCACATAGGATAGGGTAATTTCTTTTGGCATTTAAAAAGGTCTGAGGACAGATCAGAGCAGGATCCCAACTACAGTATAACACAGTTATACTGTAAAGGTGACACTGTTCTAGTTAGACACATGAAATTGAGTGAGCAAAGCTGCCTGCTGTCAGTTTTCTTTCTTTCCTCTCCATCTCCTCCAGATTTTATAAATTCAGTCATTCATGGATCTGATTATTCTAAAAAATAATTCTGTTTCTCTTAATTATCAATTCCACTGTCAAAACAAAATCACTTCAGTGATCTTTGGGATATATGAGGCAGAGCCAATTGGCTAAGGCATTTTTATTTGCTTGAATGTAGTACTGAGAATTATTCTGGTACAATTTCATTACAGCACAGTGGTGTCTTTGAATTTGAAACTTCTTCTATTTAGTAGTTTACCTTCTAAATAGAAACAATAATTCTGTCACATGCCTTCTTAATGATATGTCATAGAGAAGTATTTTCTCTGCAGCATGATTTTGTTCCAAAACAAACCCCTCCACCTTTTTTACACTGTTTCCATACAAGTATCATTGGTTCAAATCTTTGCTGTATTTGTATTGACTGCTATGGATTGCAGTGAACAATGATGCCTCTGAAAATGTTAACATGGTGTAACCCAGTTTCTTTCAGTTCCTAGAGAGACACGTTATGGGCCTTCCAAACCCAAAACATCTCCCAGTCCACGTGTTTCTCCAACCAGAGCAAGTAAGCTTCTCAGTATTTTGCATTTTAGCATATGAAAGTTTTTGCAGTTTGAAAATTGACAAAATATAGGGATTTTTCAAAAATACACAAATCTTTATTGAATAGGGTATGTTTTACTGTTGTAATGAAGTGTTGCTATAAAGCTGTCATAAAGCAAGATGTATATCTGTGTGTATCAGTAATTTGTATGAGGGTTGGGGTATGGGGGTTAAACACTCTCATATAAAGCCCCTGCAATTTGGAAAACTTGGGTCTGAATTTCATTAAGATATGAAAGACGTCCTTGTATTTTCTCATTTACAGAAACAAAATTACAGTACTTTCTTGTTCCCCAATCTTCACTTTGGGGTTATCTCTGTCCATTGGAAAGTTAGTAGTAATTATCCATGTTTCTACTTTGACTGCTTGATGTTTTTTAATGTAAGATTGATCTAAGCAAGCAACAGATTTTTGGAATATGAAATACTTGAAGTGCAGCTAGGAAAATTGTTAGAACTACAACAGTTTACTCTGTGAAAAGATCTGTTTGAGAAAACTGGGATGAGTGGAGGGTTAATCCAGCAGTGCACTGTAACAGTCACTTTGTCTGTAGTCTCAGCACTAACATTTACTTCGTTGGCAAGAGGTTTCTGTGGTTACTAGCAAATGGAAAAAATACTTCCTAAAAATTTTATTTTTGCAGAAAATTAATGTCCTGTAAGGAATATCAGATAGACTTATGATTTGTCTTTGTCTTCATTACTGTGTTCAAAACTTAGCTCATCTTCACAGGTCCAAAAGAAAGTCGACGAGTCACTGCCAAGCCTAGAACATCACCAATTCCAGATTTACCACACACAAAACCTGGTAAATAGATACATGTTTTGTCGTACTTAAATGTTCAGACATTCTTTAGGTTGTCTTTTCTCAGTGTCAAGTGTTGATTAACATCTCTTAATATTGCAAATATATAGATTTTCTAATGAGCATTAAATACATGCTTAAAGAAAGAGAGACCTGATTTAAATATTTAATTATTGAGTTTTGATGAGTTGTATATATATGCTTTTCAATCACATGACACTTGTCATTGATGAATAATTTGTATAGAAGGTTAAACAACATACAGCCCTTTTAAGAGTATACTTGGAAGAAATTTCCTCAGTCTTCTTTTCTGATCAGGTGTCCTCATAATGGAACTAGATCCTTAAAAATATACCTGGTAGGGATTGATATGTCAGTGAACTACCAAATCTCCTCTTTAACATATAATGGTTCTGAAGAAATCAGTTGAAACTTCCTTTATAGGGAATGTATATTCACTATTATTTTTTCCAACTTAAGAATAAATTGGTTAAAGGGAGTATATTTACCCTTTTAATTGTATTTTCTGCTAACTGTGTACGTTCTTGTTTTTATGAGGTGCTGGCACATATTACATTTACAGCTGAGCAACCAAAGACAAGTAGGCAACTTTGGGCTGTTTGCTATTATTTTTTTTTCCCCTGCTGTTCGTTGACCAAAGATTATAAATTATTATTCTGTTTTTTACATTATTTGTTTGTAGTTTTGATTTGGTTACATAATACTAGTCTGTTCCAGATATTCAAAGATTCCTAGCTGTGTTGTCTTCACAAAAATATTCTCTCTCTTCCACACATTGCAGTTTCATTCTGTGGCTATCGCAGTTGTCAGCTTTGTAATACAAATGGAAACATCTCAGCTATGGCTGTCTGTGTTCTTTACAGATTTTTTTCCTTGGCTCCAGATGAGACTTTTCTTACTTGATCACTTTTCCATGTTTATTTTCATTCATGGTTGTCTTTTTCCCTTTAAGTTTCAGCATGTCTCATCTCTACATTTTTCGATCATTCATGCAAAGACGTTGTTTTTCCTTGCAGGTATTGATTTCTAAAGAGCACACACGCTTAAAACTGGTCTTTTCTTTCAGCTCCTAAAGAAACACAACAAACTTCCTTTAAACCTAAACCAGCTCCCATTCCAGATGCTTCACAACGCAAGCCTGGTAAATTATCTTCTCTTTTATCAAGCTATGGTCAAAAACTGAACACTGGCTTTTGGGAAGGGTGCTGGTGTAGATTTCTCAGCAGTACATTTGCTGCTTTGTAGTATTCTAACTTAAGAAACATCTGCAGTACTGTGGATAATTCATACAACTGTTGGAAACAACAACAGTTCCCAGGTTGATTTTTTTTTTTTTAATTGGTATTATGTGGACATTACCAGAAGAAATAATAGTGACCCATATATTGTAAAGAATGATACAAAGTTATTAACAGCTTGCATCTCAGCAACATTTCAGTTATTTGCATTATGTATTTTAACCTCTTTTGACAGAAGCCTTTTGGGGCTGTTGCAGTGCTTTCCCTTTATATATAAGCGTTTTTATCCAGATGAGGCTAAGACTTCCCATCTGTTTTACTCCATTTGAGACATTTTTCAACATAAATCTGGCTAACTTATGTAAGATCATCACTGCTTTCACTGGAGGGTTGCAAAACAAAAACAAAAATGGAATTCTTCATAACCAATAATCTCTGAGAGGATATGTCAGTTACTGTTGTAAAACACACGTTTCCTGCTGCATATAGTGTGCTACTGAGAGTTGCTTTTAAAGAGGTAGAGGTAGGAAGAGAAAGTATCTTCATTATTCTGAGCATTTGTCCAAATTTTTTCTGACAGGAATCGTTCCATCCTTCCGTGAACCTGATTCTACTATGATTCCTCAAATGCCTCAAAGAATAAAACCAACACTGGGTAATTGTGTATTTCATAAATAATTACTCTGTTTTCCATTTTTGCTGGATAAATGGTTGTGCTTTGGTATTGATAGCAGCAGTAACACATGAACTAATTTAAAATTTGCTTTTGAAGGTTCTTTTTCTCATCTTCTAGCCATTCCGATCAGGAGGATATAATTCCCTCAGTTGTTACATATTCTCCTGTAAAAGGGGCTTTATTTAAAGAACAGATAAGTGATTCCTGACTTTTCTGCATCTGAGGTATGATGCTGTTATCCTAAAATACTGCTCTGCTTTACTCCTCGTTATCTAATTTTACAGAGAAAACTGCAAGAAAATTTTAAGTGTCAACTATAGCACAACCTGCACCAAATTGTACCAGCTACGTGACTGCGTGACAAGTCAAGCACCAGTTCTTAAAACCATCTTCTCTTTTACCTTCTAGTCATCTCTGTTGGGAAAACTTTCTTAAATATATTTAAGACATATATTTAATATATTAATGCCTTGTCCTCATAATTATTTTTTCTTACTTGCCAGATGTGGACTAAATAAGGGTGAATTAATCAAAGCAGGATTGGGCAGTAGGAGTATTGACTCAGTAATTGTTGCTAATAACGAGTTCTGTGTCCCCACTTTCAGAGAAGATGTTGACCAAGATTTTCTGAGAGTGAAGTGGCATCATTATTGAAGTACTAACAGCCATTCAATAATCTTTGAAATTTTCCTCTTTGATGAAAAGGAATTCAAAAATTCTTTTCATCACGTTCAAATTTTACTATATATTCCCCCTATATATTGATACTTAGATTAGTGTTCATTTTATATCTTTACATATTTTTATAAAGTTTATGTGTTTTTTTATACACTTCTGGGGACACATGATACAATCTATATGCAGAATACACGTGAAGAATGTAAAGGGTAAGGTAGATTTTTTTTCTGAGGACCTCTCACATTGCTGTGGATAATGGACTTTCGAATGTTTGCTCTAAGTGCTAAAATACCTTTTGCATTAAGTGATCATTCAATGAGAAGAATTATGAGAATAGAAAAGTTCCTGTTGGAAGGGACCTATACAGATTATTGGTTCCAACTCCCTGTTGCTTCAGGGCTAACAAAAAGTTAGAGCATGTATTATGAAGGGTATTTTATCCAAATGCCTAATGAGCATGAACAGACAGGAGGCATCAATCACCCCCTCTAAGAAGCTTGTTCCAGTGTCTGACTACCTTCTCAGCAAGGACATTTTCCTTAAATCTGATCTGAACTCCTCTCATGCAGCTTTGAGCTATTCCCACACTGGATACTAAGGACAAAAGATGCCTCCATCTCCACTTCCCCTCCTTGGGAAGCTGTAGAGAGCAATCAGGTGAAAACAAGGAAGTTAATTTACAAATCAAGTTTGACACAAAGGGCCAATGAAAAATAGGTACTATCCTCAGGTACTTCTGTACATTACACAGGGAAGTACATTACTAATGTGTGTTTTTGTCCTATTTATTTACTGAATGCTGATGTGACTGTATTCTTCGCTGATATATCCAAAGTAACAAATAGACATTGAATTATTGGCAAGTCTGTTTGTACGAGTGGCTGTTTCATTTCTTTGCAGAAATTCCAACTGATAGATTTTCAGCTTTAGACTTACACTTCCTTGTGTTCTATGATGTTCCTTATGCACTCTGAAAATAGGG